CTGAAGGCAAAGCATTTAGATGTTTGTTTCCAAAAAGGCATCTGTCAGCAATCAGAGGAGAAAAATGCATAAAGCGAATGTGATTGTTTGGAGTAGCATTTCCTGGATCATGTTAAATGCTTCGATTGCTCCCATTATGCTCACCAAATAATTTTATTTCCCACAATAATTGCAATGTTTAACGTGTTGCATTTAATCTTGTTTCGGGGCCATTAACAGTGGGCCACACTCTGAAAGGACCGACTGCCACACAAGGCAGACAGCCTCCCAGCCTCTCAGAGGACAGTGATGGAGCTAAACACATATGTTCTGGACCTAACGCAATTACCCAGAAATACTTATCATGTCCTTCTGCAAGCCTGCTGTGCCACAGCCTCAGATCTCCGGGCTCCTGCACACACAGATCAATCTGGCCCATCCCACACCCATCCACTCAGAAAAGGGATCAGCACAGTGCCAGGGGCTCAGACAGTCAGCTCCTCCGAGCAGGCCTGCCCCGGGACAGACCCAACTGCAGAGCTGTAGCCCAGGAGCGGGCAGAGACCCTAAAGGGAGCAGACCTGGGCTCTGCTCATCAGAGACCGGGGGAATGGATGCCCCAGGACAGGAGGCAGATGCCAAGACATAACACACACTGTGCACTGTGCTTCTCTCCTGAGTTTCATTTTCCTTGTTGGGGGAGGGGGCGTGCTGTGTTACATTTTACAGAGTTTAGAACTTCTCCTTATGGTTCTCCAAACAGCAAGCTGGGGAAAGCCCATCACTGATTGAAAGGTACAGTTGTGCAGGGCAGACTTTGGCTTGCAAGCCAGGGCAGGGAGCTCCTGAAGAAGGACCAGGTGCTGCACCTCAGGCCCAGGGTAACTGAACACTTCCCGAGCTCCCGCTCAAGAAGAGACCCAGAGACCCAGGTGCCCGAGAGTGCAAACAGGCTTCCCAACAGCACCGAAGCACACACCCTGCATAATTATCCTCAGCCTCCTTCCCCAGGTCACTGGAAGAAATCCCATTACAGTGAGGATGAGGAGGAAAAACACCTTACTTATTATATCCGTGGCTCGCTCTTGGATGCTCTGTGCATCATGCCTAAAATTGGAAAGCATTCCTGGTGAAGATGAATAAAATTCACTTGAATAAAATTACTTTTGTCAAAACAGCTATGTACTATATTACCATGACATTAAGTGGTTAAAAGAGTATCTTTTAAGGGGGGAAATCAGAAATAAGAAAGCAAAAAAAGTGCCAAATTTTACCTCTTTGGAGCTTAAACTATGACCTGAATAAATTTATTTAAATATTATTCAAAATGTGACTAGAAAGAAATCCATGGGTGTGGGTGCTGTACGGGCAGAACTCCATGAGCATCCCAGGAGGGCAGACCTGAGAATTAATCTGGCTAAGTTCTCCCTGCCCCTAGAGCCTACACTGCGGGCCCACAGGACAGACAGCACAGGGCCTCACCACTCACATTCAGGAGCGTGAGGAGGGCTCCAGCACTCTGCCCAATGCCGCTGCACGTGAAGGGATAAAATAGCACAGATGCAAATCATTCCACCCCGTTCTCCCTGCTCATTACTGAATAAAATTATTTGAAATGTATCAGCTGTCTAAAGTTTTTCTCACTTAAAAAATGTTTCACAGCCCTTCTTATTGGTACATCTATGTTTTGGGGTTCTCTCTCTCTCTCTCTCTCTCTCTCTCTCTCTCTCTGTCTCTCAAAATAAAAGATCTTTGGTGTGCAATCCCTATAAAGAAAATGCCTAGGTTACAACAAAGAAATCACAAGCGATTTAAGTGATTTTTTTTCTAGTTAAGGAGGAATTCGTGTCAATATAGCCTCACTTGGGTTAAACTGATTGATAATGCCCAATTACCTTATTTGGAAAGAATGGAGAAGCCCAGAATTAACTTGTTAAAAGCCCCTCCAAAATGCAGGGACGGGTGTCTGCAGTGTGTCTATTTACTCCGTGGAAACACATCGCTGCACAACGCCAGCTGAACCAAAGCCCAGGGGCTGCGAGGCTGCGGGCTCCTAGTTAGGCTGCTTCACACCCAAATTCACTAACAAATCCAACTTTTACAAACAAGGTAAAGAAGGGAGAATATTTCCTCCTGTAATTATTTTTGAAAACCTTACTTTGAAAACCTGTTCAGCTATTCCCAGATCCAGTTTTTGACTTTTCGCTTTGCTTCCAACCGAGATGTGTAAGACAGCAAAACTGAAAAACTGAACTAAACATTTTTTTAAATGCGCAGCTCACGTTCTTGAGAAAAGTGGCTGTGAAAAACAGATACTGAATCAGACTTAAAGTGAGGGGGCTGGGGGAGAAAAGCCCAAAACATTGCATGATAGTCTCTAAGCAGTTCCATCTGTCAAGCAGAAATTTTAGGCTAATAGCCTGTGGCGATCTCCCTCAGCCGTCCACTACCTGCCTTTGTCCTATTAAATCTCTTTATTCTCCTTCAAGGGGGGGTCGCTGTTGGGAGGAGAGGAAAAACCTTGCAGACCAAACTCATCTGAGTGATGAAGCCCTAATTCTAACCTCCTCCCTTTGATGTGCGCAGAGGGCTCGCGCGTGTGGAGAGAGACAGTCCCAGCAGCAGCCTACATCCCCTTCACCTTGCTCCGGGGGTCTGGAGATTGGTTCATTGTCAGGGAGATGCTTTACCCATGATTCCATATGGTGTGGACCGGACTACATGTTGCCCCACATGCCACCGCAAATGTTTTCTCAATTAGGTGTCTTATCTCCCGTGAGCTAGCATCACAGGAAGCCTGCTGACAGCGTAATGGCAGGGAAAGCTTCCGACGGCTCCATCAAATGGCAGCTCTGCTACGACATCTCGGCCAGAACTTGGTGGATGGTGAGTTGGCAGCCAGGACTGCCTTTTTTTTCTTTTCTACTTTCCCTCCCTCTTTGACAAAATGTCCCAGACCTCACATTCATCAAACTTGCATTTGATTTTTCACACTCTTCAGTGAGGCAGTCACACGGCTTCTCCTGCCTCCCCCCGCTGCACTCTGCGACTGTCGTTCCAGCAGCGCCGGCCCGGGCTGCGAGGGGACAGGGTTTCCAGTTTGCTTCTCCGTGTTTAATTTTTTTAACAGTACCAGAAGTGCCAAGGCGGATGGGTGCTCCGGCCGGGCGGAGCCGGAGCGCCGAAGAGACGCCGCCTGCCCTCGGGCTTTGCCCTCTGCAGCCTCTCGCCCCTCACTCTGCTCCCCGTGGTTTCCTGGCCCCGGTGTTTGCTGAGGTCCATGTGGGGCTGCCCTGAGCGGCCTCGGCCTGCCCCGTGGGCTGTCACCTGTGGGAGCGCGGGTCCCCGTGCCGTCTGCCGGCGGGCCGGAGTCGCGCGAACTCGGGTCGGTGTGCGTCGGAGCAGGTCCCGTCTCGGGAGCTCCGGCTCCGAGGGGCAAAACCCCACACCCGCCCTGCGTGGCTCCGGGCGCAGGTCAGGCCGGACGCCGTCCACCACGCGGCCGCGGAACGAGTTAACTCACATGTCCCGGTCAGCCAGGCCAGACCACCTCTGCTCCGGCCTCCGAGAGGTGGGGCCGGCGGGCGGCGCACAATGGCTCATTGTCCGCGAGCGGCCGGTCCTCGCAGCACCACTGCCCTCGTTAGGGTAGTGTCCGTTAGGGATTAATTCGTTAGCAGTGCGTTTCTAGTTTTCCGTAATTATTATTCTTGCGGCAAGCGTGAGTTCTTCCCGGGAGTGAAAAAAGTTGCTGGCAGGACAATGAATGCATTATCCGCTCCTAACTGGACCGTGAACTTCGGCTCGTTTCACATAGATATCAGTTTAAGAGGAGAGGGGTGCTGAAGGGGAGCCGCTGAGTGGGGCTGCAAAGCAGGACGTGCCGCGCCGCTGTGTGATCTGCAGCCCTCTCCCCCGCGCGGACCTGGGCGCAGGCGTTGCGAACTTTTGAGAATTCGGAGGACGCAGAGGCTGTTGGAAGTGAGCTGCCGTGGGATGCCCTTCGGCCTCTTCCTGGGTGCAGCGTCCGTTCCCAGGACTTGAGCCAAAGTGCTTTGGGTATGTGTGTACGTGTGCCTTTTGACCTGTGATTTCTTAGCTGGACGTCAGGAGCTCCACCGGTGATTTCCGGACAACGTTACGTGTGGCTTTTGGCTCAGGAGACTGGCAGTAGACTATCCATTTCGACCCTGAACTTCTATTCAGGGCACTCATTTTCCCATTAGAGTTTCTGCCAGCAGGAATGAGGTTTACTTGTGTGCAGTTGCTGGTTATTGCTTTGCCCTGCAGCTGGTTAAACAGTAGAATTGAATGTGTGGATTGGGCTGGCTATTATTTTCTAGACTAACTTGTAAGCTTTAAAAAACCGCATGCTGTTGTCATTCTGAGGAAAGCGTTCCGCTTCCTCCTATCTCAGAGTACGTAGATTTTATAGACTGTTACTTTTGTGGAAAATTGTGTCATCTTTATTTCTTGCAAAGACCACCAAATGCTTCTTTTTTAAACTTGGAAAACTGTAGTTTCTTTTTGTGTAAACTTTACTTCGAAGTTGCTTTTCATTTAAAATTATTTTACAGATGTTTTACCGCCGGGAAGATAACATATAAAAGTGGTGGAAACATTTAGCAATGCAGTTGACTAAAAATAAATAATGCTGAAAGCTCACGCGCTGCTGTTCAGCTGCAAACGACAGGGAAGTTTCTCTCAATTTCAGTGCTTCTAGATCTTTGCTCTGAAAGGGGGTGAGAAATCAGAGGGCTCTCTGAAGTTGTTGAAGTTACCACAGGGAATAAACCTATTTTTTGTTTGTTTGTTTCCTTGGAGGTGACCATACCCCACAGCATTTTAGATCTCTCAGTTACAAATGATGCAGTGTTAATGTCCTGTGATGGGTGGGAAGCTGAGGGGGACTTGGTGAGAGGGAGACTAATTAAAATTATACAGACCTCACAACTCCTCTCAGATCGCTTTGCTGGAGAAGCCTCCCTCCCGCCCCCTCTGCCCCATCTCACTACTCCAAACAGTTTCCCAACTGAGGAAAAATTAAACTTCCCCCTTGCTGATATGAGTCTTTCATCAAAGGGCAGCGCAGCTCTGAGTCTCCCAGCAAAGGCGAATAAAGCTTTAAAATCGCCTCACCATCATCGCCGGCTGCGCGGGCTCTGCGGCACACCCCACACAAAGCACACAGCAAATGCCCTCAGTTGCCAGCGCCGGTCTCTGCAACTTTGCTTCTCAGTGAGTCGTAAACGATTTGTACGGCAAATGAGTTTCTTGTTTTAGTTTTGAGGCATGTGTTGGACCAGGTTGCAGAAGTCACTGTCTACTGCACAATCTTAGGTGAGGTAGAAAAGAGCAAGGATTATTCTTAGTTTCCAAAATAATAAAGACTCGCTAGGATGAAAGAAACCGGTTAATAAAGGACTGGGGATAAAACCTCTCTTCGCTCTCTTCCCCTCCCCACCCTCACAACTCCCTCCGGCTTACAGTAGAGGCTGAAGCGCACTTTCTCACGACTGTATGGAAGTTGTTGACTAGATTAGTGTTTAGTTCACTTTGTGCATAAACTTTAGCTGTGTCTTAGACGGCCTTTGTGTTTAAGAAACAGTTCTTTTGTAACTTAAGATGCTGAGCAGAGCCACCTCTGCTCTGTCACGGTTTTGCTGCTATAGTTGAAGCGAATGCTGTCTTGGGAAACATGCACTGTAAGAAATGATAAATGCGTTTTATGTCACAGCAGAGCAAGGAATGACTCTGAGTATCCCACACTCACGCGAAGACTTTTATTCAAGCCTGCAGAGTTGTAAACAATTGAAAAGTTAACAAGCGGCCAGGGTCCGAGCATGCACATTTGAGCAGTAATTACCTCTGGCGCTGCCACTTATGAGGGATCTTTGATATCTGAACCACTTCTCCACTGCTTTAATCACACAAATGAAGAAGTGGATATTACATATCAGCTTCATCTGGCCGTGTCGCGACATCTATAGTTGAAACCTCCCAAAAGAAAACCCTCACGAAAACGCCCTGTGCTCCGAATGAAACGCAAGCACCTGGGTGCTCTGAGATATAATTCTGTCCAGGAGAATTCTCTCCATTCTTGCCACAGGTTAAAAAAGGGAGCCAGAAGAAACACTCCTCTCCGTGAGGACTTAGTGATACTGGTGATGGGCAGGCTCTGTGTGAATCCCGGAGCGTACTTGTCTTTCTTTGGCCACTCAATTTAAACTCCTGCTAGCTCTGAATGATGGTTCCTAAGTATTCTCTTTAGAAACTGATGTACAAGTTTTCAATCAATAAATATGTGTCATTTAATCTGAGTTTCTACAGCTCAAACTTCGGACAACAGGAATATACTGGGGCAAGCAGGATATGCTATGCCTTGTGGCATAAGTGTCTTTTTAAAAGTACATGTATAAAAATTAGCAAAATTCTATAAACACAGTCTTGCTGTAGTCAACAATTTCTAAAAATCTCCACCCTACTTTCTGCATGATTGGCAACCTTAACCACTGCGGACACAAAATTAAGAACTCATATTTCATGGAAACCTTTTGTTGTTTTTTGCTTGGATTCATATCTTAAGTTGTATTTACCGTGTCAATTTTTAAAATAATTCTCAGTGAGGTTTGCTAATGACTGCTTTCTCTGTTCCTCTGAAGACGTTGCCTAATGAAGATTTGTCTAGAAATCTGCATGAGCTCTTTCATGATAATGATGAAAATAACTTGGAAATTACCTCTGTGGCTATAAATGAAAATCTCAAAAGGAAGAGATTCAGGAAATAATGAGGTGTATCATATTTTCAGCACCTGTATATTTTTAAGAGTCCTTGGTAAACATATCTGTATATCACACATTTTATACATTTGAACAGTTTTTATTTTGTATTTTGCAGAGTGCAGTGGCCTACCATCTCAGTATTTTTAAATGCACAATTTAAAAATGTTACCCACCATTGTAAGAATGTGTTATTATTTTGGTTTTTAAGAATATGTATTAATTTCAACAGTTTCTCGACATTCCAAATATTATTTTCCCAGTGTATTTGCAGTAACTGATTATGAACAAAATCTGAATTAGGAGGGAAGGATTTTTTTCTCCTCAAAGCATTATCCTTTTTTCTTTTAGGTTAGCCCTTACAATGTCTTTAAGATACTATTTACTATTCTCAGGGAGACACAAATATATTAAACTAGGCTCAATTTTTCTTTAAATCTAATTATGGTCCCAGTGTATTCATTTGGAAATGTGATTGGCTGCTCAGGCTGCCCATGCACTTCCCCTATCTTCTTTAAAATCTTGATTTCCTGTTGTTATGCTCATATTTCTCCTGTGAACTTTAGACAGTGAAATAAATGCTTTGTCCTTACTTATTTTCTAGTTGATTTTCCTTCACCTGTCCCAAATATTGTCAGGAATGTTTCTAATTTAAAACCAAAAGAACCAGGGGCTGATTAGAAGACAGGAAATTGAGGGATTAAACTGTCTGGTTGCACTTCCTTCACCTATCAGTGCTTAGTAACTCACTCTGGATCACACACGCAACAGGGTGGTTTTCACGTGCATTACTCCTGCTGGGTGTTTGACTATACGGGGCCCATGTGTGTGGTGTGTGTGTGTGCACACTCGAGTGCCTGCCTGGCTGTAAGTCCATATGTCCCCTTGTGACTGTGTGGGAAAGAACCAGCAGCTGGTTGCTATACATGGAATAGTTTTGAACCAAAGGGGCTCACACTATGGGCATGAAAGTTTATTTCACAACTATAATCCTAGAGTATTTGAAAACTTTGCTAAAGCAGTTCTGCAACCCCAAGCAAACAATGGCATACTACAAGGGGAAAGCAAGGCGCATACTAGATCTCTGCAGCCCTTATGCTGCTCAC